TATATATATATATATATATATATATATATATATATATATATATATATATATATATATATATATAATACATGTGTTGTACATATCATGACATTTTCTCTCGCGGAAACTAATGCTTCAAATTTATCATTTGCGTGTCTCGATACATTTATTGCGATTCGCAGAAGACTTATTATAAAATACGTGTAGCGTATGAAATAGATTAGCGTAATACTTGTCCCTTTAAAGCTAATTCTGCCTTTCGCGTGTTTATATCCGATCTCTACGTAAAACGTATATTAAACGTGAAGTGCATAAAAAATAAAAAATGTGTATATTATTTTCTTTCCTTCTTCAAAGCAGAGAGAAGCCTGAGAGCGGTCACCAGCGTGATTTTAGTGGCCAGAGCTAGGCGCATTTTCGAGACGTCATCTAACAAAGTGTGCCTTTACTATGTTCGTTAGGCGCATTTTCGCGGTGGTAACAATAAAATCCGCCTGATTCGTGCCCATTGTACTTCCGTATAATGATAGTAATGCCGAGATTACGATCAATTTCACGTAACGGGACGCGACAGGACGTGAAGTGACGTGACATGAATTTGACGTTTGAAGTTGTTTTGAAATTACAATCACCGTAAAGTTGATCGTAATTAGCCGCATATAAAACAACGTGTTTTAGGTTTTGCGTCACCTCATGTCTCGTTGCGTCCTTTTTCGTGAAGTTGATCGTAATCCTGGCATAAGTTAGAAAAGAACAGACGTCCAATCGCTCTGTTCTTGTCTCAATACAGATGAGCGGATCGCACGAAGCGAGGTTCGTAAGCACGAAGCGAGCTAGCGGCGAACTTATCGCAAAGCTAGATCATCTCTCATCGGAGCGGCGTCGATCGATATGTCCACGGCGGTTGCTCGATGCAGAAAAATCGAGAATCAAAATGATCGTGCGATTGTTGAATCGCACTGAAAATATACGCCAATATGTAAACGGCGCCGCGGCCGAAAAGAACGCGCTCTATGAGATACTTCTCTCTCCGTATCTCTTTTCCTAACTGATCCGCCCGAATATTCTGCATTTCTTTCTTTCATCGCATTTCTAATTCCCGTTCATTACATCCGACGATCGCCCGATTCTATTGCTACTTGAGCGAGTCGATGTCATTAACAAATGTAAGGGACATCAGCGCGACAAGCACCGGCCGCATATACCGCGAGAAGAAACGAGAAGATTACTTATAAATGACGTCTTCACGATACGCCCCGGCGATCGTACATCGCTAATTTCGACACTCCCGAGACTTCTTAACGCGCGAGACTTACTTTCAACGGATAAAAGACGCGAGAAACGCGGAGCGATGTATGCCCATGGCTGCTGCCCTTATAAAAATATCATACTAAGAATCATTGATAATTACTTATTTTCAGTATTAAAAATACTGGATAATAAGTAATTATCAATGATTCTTAGTATGATATTTCTATAAGGGTGGTTGGCGCGAAAAGATCGAGCATTTCGCGCGATTCATTACCAACGCCTAGATTGAATAACCACGATGACAACCTTGTAGTGCACTTTTGGCACTTTCGGTGCGCTAATGAACTTTTGGTACGTGATTGACAGCGCGTGCGATCTTTTCATACCGAGAAACTGCCATAGACACGCTCCGTATTCCATACGTCTTTTGCTTGTATCCTGTGAGTCTTCTGCGGAAATAAGTATTAGAATGCCGAAAACAACAATACGCGGTCGTCAGGATATATCGTAAGTACATTATTACGGAGTAACCTCCTCCCTTCTCGACATATACAGCTAAGGTGATCAGACGTCCCGATTTTTCACCCTTTGATCCAAATTTTTTCGAGTGCTATTCGAGACACCGATTTGTCATCATTTTCAATAATTATCAAATAATTTTCGGATCTTTTTATCTACTTATCTCTGTTTCACACATTTATGAAGTGTTCCGAATTCAGGGCTAAGAAATCTGGTCACCTTAATACAACGGACACGAACCAGGCGCATTTTATTGTTACCACCGCGAAAATGCGCCTAATGAACGAAACAAAAGCGCACTTTGTTAAATGACGTCTCAAAAATGCGCCTAACTCTGGCTATTGAAATCAGGCTGATGGCCGCTCTCATGATTCTCTCTGTTCAAAATATTCAATAATTTTAAACTGACGACTTAACTCATCTAACCTCACTCCATACATCCATCACGTCTTTTTCTGCTTCTCGTCATGGCTCAGATTTTGCTATAATTTTGTGCTCAGCTTGATTCAATCGCCATTCGGTAGTACTTCACGCATCTGCAAGCCGAATTTGTACCTTGCACCAATCACAAATGCGAATTAAAACTTCGCCGCAAACAACTCAACGCAAACGACCAAAATTTCAAACTCGTTACGTTTCACTACGTTTATAATCGATATGAACATCGCGCGATATCGATAATTTCTTGGTCGATCAATTCATCGATTTCAGTGTTAAAACGAGTGCAGATGGCGCATCGGTGAGTCACTTGTATTGGACAAAAAGCAGCACGATAACCAATCAATTTACAGTTTTATGGAAGAAGAACGAGTTGATTGGTCATCTCGTGAACACTATCGTGTCTTTCTATAGCGAGCCGAGCAGAGCGAACGAGAGGCGTACAGTTGTCAAAAAGTTACATTGCAGCTGACATAAATTGACAGCTGAGTGTTACTTATTGCGCCAGCGAACGTAATAAAAATCCAAGAAGTGAAAAGTACGAAAAGCCTTGTCGTGGTGATAACATGTTCCGCAGCACGTCGAATTTTGAAAAATTACTGGGTGAGTTTGTACTTTTGAAATCGGTTCAAAATGTCGGATCTCTCTAAGTCGTAATTAATTGTTTGCAGATAAGGCGACGAGTCATTTTCAGTTGGAGCCAGACTGGCCGACGATTCTGCAAATCTGTGACTCCATACGTCAGAGTGACGTTCAGTAAGCACCAGTACTTCTAAAATATATATTTGCTTTTTTACTTCATTTTTTTTAGATGCAACATTGTCAATTGCATTCTGCACTGCTTTAGGAGACCATATCAAATATGTAATTATCACTACTTCTCTTATCTAGGCCAAAGGTTGCACTTGCTGCTATAAAGAAGAAAATCACAAACTCTAATCCGCACGTAGCACTATATGCATTATTGGTAAGATATTTAGAATTGATTTTGGAAAAAATCCTATGTGTTAAGATTAGTCACATGTTTATTAATGTTATATTTCTTAATTTAGGTGTTAGAATCCTGTGTGAAAAATTGTGGAACACTAATTCATGATGAAATTGCTACCAAACAGTACATGGAACAACTGAAAGAATTAGTCAAGACTTCACAGCATGAAAATGTCAGGCAAAAGACTTTAGAGCTAATTCAAGCTTGGGCTCACGCATTTCGCAACAGTCCAAAATACAGAGCAGTTCAGGTAACAAATAGTTTGGTCACACTTATTAAAATTATGCTCCATGATAAATTTGCTCATCAACATGCTACTTGCATACTTGCATATTTTATTTTTTTCATATTATTTCCTTTTTAGGATACATTGAATATAATGAAAGCTGAAGGATATCAATTTCCTGCTTTGAAAGAAAGTGACGCCATGTTCAGAGCTGATACTGCACCTGCGTGGGCAGATGGCGAGGTATGCCATAGGTGCCGTGTAACCTTCAGTATGGTTCAGCGTAAGCATCACTGTAGAGCCTGTGGTCAAGTATTTTGCAATCAATGCTCGAGCAAACTCTCTACTCTACCTAAATTTGGAATTGAGAAGGAAGTTCGAGTTTGTGAAGCTTGTTATGAGAAAGTTAACAAGTTAGTGGAATTTTGCATCATTTTTCCTTCACAGTGATTTCATTCAGATATTTTTAAACATAATTTTTTTAGGTCATCTACAGTACAAGCCAAAGACACTGATCTCCCAGCTGAGTATATCAACAGCACTTTAGCTCAACAACAACAAGTATGCATTAACATTGTATTAGATAGTTAATACTTCATAACATATGCAATAATAATACAGAAATATAAAAAAAAGAAAAGTTAATTGGAAATAACTAATTAAAAACAACTTGTTATCGAATTATGCACTAATTTCTTTAATCGAGTTATCTGAGACTTGCTATACATTTAATTCTACTGATATATATTTGTATAATTAAATTAGTAGTTAAACATGGCTTCTCCAATATGTGTTGTGGAACAGGTATTCTTGTTCATTATTTAAAATAATTACATATGAAGACTATAATTTATTATGAAAAACATATAATTCAGCTCATAGATTAAATTTTACATAATATGCATTATTGCATTATATACGACTATCATATTTGAATAAAAAAACGCATGAAAAATAAACTTGAATTTTGACATATAACTTGATGCAGCAAAATTACAAATCATATCTGTAATTAGCCTCATATACAATATTACGTATCTCTGTAGGTTCCACCTCGAAAAACGGAGGAAGAACTACGAGAGGAGGAAGAATTGAATCTTGCAATAGCTTTGAGTCAAAGTGAGGCTGAACAGAAGGAGAAAGAAAAGAAACGTGCTACGAGTGCTTTAAAATCCAATTCCACTCCCATATCAAGAATAACATATTCGCCGCCGCCATCTCCTGTAAGTCTTTTGTAATTTATTAATTAATAAAATTATTAATTACGTGAACAATCAATCTTATTCTAAAAAGATTTTACCATTCAAATGTTAATTTTTTTTTTTAATTTTCTTATTTGATATTAAATATAATTAAGTATTCCCTATTCTTTTACTAGGGTCCGAGTCCGTCACGGACGCAAGAGGAGGATGAGATCGAACCCGAACTTGCGAAATATCTGAATCGCAAGTATTGGGAACAGAGACAGACTGTGATCGAGGAGCATGGGTCAAGAGCAGATGTCACCAGTCCGTCTGCACCCAACATAAGCAGCCCAATGCCCCTAAAGGTTATATACGTGAAACAAGAAAACGGCGAGGTTGATAATCAAATGGAAGAATTTGTAAGTGGTTTGAGGTCTCAAGTCGAAATTTTTGTCAACCGAATGAAGAGCAATTCCTCGAGAGGACGATCAATCGCTAACGATAGCTCAGTTCAAACCCTATTCATGAATATAACTGCTATGCATTCCAGGTATTGACTTGAAAATATGATTTTCTAATATTATTTCTGATATCTCATTGTTGTAAATAATTGCATATCAATAATGAAACGTATTTCGTTTCTTTTTGCAGACTATTAAGATATATTCAAGAACAAGATGACAGTAGAGTATATTACGAAGGCTTGCAAGATAAATTAACTCAGATGAAAGATGCTAGAGCTGCTTTGGATGCTCTTCGAGAGGAACATAAAGAGAAGTTACGTAGGAGAGCTGAAGAAGCTGAGAGACAGCGACAGATGTTAATGGCGCAAAAATTGGCGATCATGCGAAAGAAGAAGCAAGAATATTTGCAGTATCAACGGCAACTGGCTCTTCAGAAAATTCAAGAGCAGGAGAGAGAAATGCAAATGCGTCAAGAACAACAAAAACAGCAATATATAATAAGTAATTGATTAGTTTCTCATTATATCGTTTGAAATCATTATCTATCTTTATCAAAGCAGGTATCTCATAATCTATCTTTATTTTATAGCAGGCTATCAAGCGGTTTCTGGTTTCATGGGACCTTCTCAAGGTTCACCTGTTCGTCATGTTCAGTATCCAACACCTGGAGCTAATTACAATCCCATGTCGCCGACGAATCAAGGAGTCTACATGTATGGACAACCACCGATAGGACAATATTCCATGCAAAGTTATATACAGTCGATGAGTACCATGCCGCCGGTACACATGATGCCGCAGATTCCTAACCCGGAGCAGCAACCATCGGATCCGTCCATGCAAGGACAGGAGAACATCGGACGAGTGTCTATATCAGGCCCAGGAATGGTAAGTTCACGCGTAATATTATTTTACCGTTTTTTTAGTTACAATTCGAAGATATTTAAATATCGCACGTCTGTCATCAAATTATTGACATATTACTTTCTCAGATGCCTCAAATGACACCACCCATTCAACAACTTCAACCACCAAGCAACCATCAGATATCCGGACCTCAGCAACAGGGTCCTCCTGTGCACGTGCAAGCAGGACAAGCTTCGACGAGCAGGCATATGCCTCCTCAACAGGGTGCCTCGTCTCAAATGCCGCAGCAAGCTCCCCCGACTCAAATCGGGTTGCCCCCGGTATCTCAAGGTCACATGGGCTCCTCGCCAGCAGGTTCGGCAGCTCCAGGAAGACATGTGCCTGCTGGAGCCATGGTTGGCATTCCGCAAATCGGATCACAACAGCCATCGACCTTGCCTGGTACTCAGGGGTCTTCGATGTCAGCGCACGTATACAATGCTGCTATCTCATCTCAAGGTACGGGCGTTATTCAAGTGCCTGGCGGTGTCGGAAGCGGACCCGTGTCTACAACGAGTCAAGCTTTAGTTGGTCCTCAAGCATCCGGTATACCGACAATGCAAGGCATGCCTCAAAACCCAGCAGCAGCGCAATCGATGCCGTTTCAACCTGCTCCTCCAACCCCAGTTGCAACCAACGAAGCTTCGCAAAATGAGGAAGATACAAAACCTAGAACAGCAGAGCTAATCTCTTTCGATTGAATAAACACAATATTTCGATGAAATGTCACGTGCATTTAAGGGGTTAGATCTATGTTACTCGGTTCTTCGTGCTTCATAGTTTAATATTGATATCGAAACATTCTCAAGTAGTACATTTTTACGTAATTTTTTATGTAAAAAGATCGTTTTCAAAATTGCGATTACTTGATATGTGATAATATATAAGTGAATCTATATGAAGATAGACATTGCTACGCATTGCATGCTAACATGCAAATATTCGTAACTTAATTCTCTCGATTCTAATACGCAATGTTTCTTTTAAATGCTTTCTAACAAAAATACGAACTATTCTTTTAAGAGGAAAAGATCAAATTGACTTTCTATATTGATCAAACCCCTTAAGTTTGTATTTTATTCTTTTTTTACAAATTAGAACATTAATATTGCAAGAGTAAGATTACGAAATAGTTAATTACCTATTTTATTGAATTAAATATATTGCTTCTGCAAAATTACAATTTTGTATCCCATTTGATTATGATAGAATGCTAAAAATGTTTTTTTATAAAATATATATGTGAGAACTGAATAAGATATAAATATATTACATTTAGCAGGATATACATGTAATAATGCAGAAAGTTTAAACTATATGTTAATTTTATATACTCTATGCAATTTATGATACCAAAATAAAACTGTTTCTTGCACTGTAGTATATCTAAAGAAAGAAATACTTATATAAAAAGTACTAATAGAATTATATGTATATATATTCATCTTTATTATTATTCTCTATTAAATGTATAGGTAAAATGATCAGTATCGCCTAGTGATAATAATTTCCTTTATTTTTTAAATTATAGAAAAACTATAACCAACAGGGATATATACACATGAATTAATTACAAGATTGTTACAAGATTTATTTACCGCTATAGTGATATATTTATATTCTTAATCGGCAGCTTAATCGAATGAATTTTTTTACTCAAGGAGAGAATGTGCGATACTTACGAGACAGCCTTAATATCGTAACATAAAAAAGCTCTAGTTCAATGAAGTTATTCAATGTTTCATTTTTCTTATGTTCTCCATGATTGGTCATAAAACCGTTGTGTCCGATGATGTAAATTTGTCTAACATTCCACATTTCTACTACAATCCCACATTTAATAAAAACATAATAGAAATTAAAATTTTTCACTAGTTACAAGATAAAAACGCCCGCGTTACTACTAATCTTTGTTTTTCTTTTTATATTAAATTAGTCAAGTGAATTATTTTCGCGAACTCGAAAGATTGCACATATATCTTCCAACTGTTCTCTAAGTTTTCTAAAGAAAAAAAAAAATACATTTACAATCCGCGTTATCAGCCTGATTGCTTAACTTCACGATTGCGATCACACAGTTTCCACTTGACCTTTTCTACGTGGCTTCGACTCTTGCCCCTGTGGAGACGTGAAAGATGTTTCTTCGGAGTGTTTCCTGATCACAGATGAAGAATCACTGTTACTCGAGCAGCTCTGACTGTCCCTTCTCTCTGGCCGCGCCATATTGAGCCCGTTGGATGTCAAAGATGCCTTCCGAATTCGCATGTCCTCCAGAGGGATCTCCTCACTCCGCGGCCTTGGCATCTTGGGCGAGCCGTCTCTAGATCGCAAACCGTTCTCATGAGCCTTCTCATTCGAACTGGCATCATCGCGTTTGAAACTCGACGATGCCATCGGCCTAGTATTTTCCCTACGCATTTGTGCCGCGAATCCAGGAACTTTGTTTACCGTGAACATTGGCCTCGGTTGATCCTTCTGTTTCTGAGCGCGCCCGAGACCTGGAAAGGTCGAAGCGATCGTCAAGACGAGAGAATCTCATGGATTGATTTATTCAAACTTACGTTCATGCCGTAAGCCGCGCAAGGCGTAATTAGGTGGTGTCGAACAATGAGGCACGCTCGTCGGAATATCCAGCAATCTGGCAATCTGATTCATCTTCTTTTGTCTCGCTTTTATCCGTCCCTTCGTTAACCTGAATCATTCGACAAGTTAATTAGTTTCAGCGAGCGCATAAACACAGGATCTCACTGAAATCCTCGTTAGGTTCACCTTTGTTTAGCGGCCATGCATCGAATGTGATCGTCGAAAACGAATTTAGCCGACAACAACGGTATACGATTACCGGTGCTACTGCTTAACGGTTTGTAAATCGTCAGATATAAACACGTAGAGTCATCCTTGTCGCCGGCGACATCGATATCCTGCAGGAAGCCGACTAATTTCGCAACGCCCCATCCGAGTTTGCTGGTATCCGGTTCCACGAGAATCAACTGTACAACATCGATGACTAGAAAACGTCGGATTTTCTGGCCATCTTTCCATACGACGGTGCACGCGATCAGGTCGCTGTTATCTGCAAAAAGAACGAATGACGAATCCACGTCGCTTACCTGCGTCACATGTTCGCGACCGCGGAACGAGAACCAGGAAGACAGATTCATCGTAGTTCATTGTATTGTGAAACAAATAACTTTTACTTAGATCAAGAACGTTGTTAACTTGTACGCAGTTAGCCGGATTGGTTAGTGGTAATTGCGTTTCAGTTTCCGTGTTCAACGTCAAAGACAGTTCCCTGATTAGAAAGAATACTCGTATCGCACGTCGCGCCCTTTCCACCTGCGAAATCATTTGTGTTTTCATGTGCTTGTTTCAGCATTACTCGATTATATTGCACCCTCTCCTCGCGCACCTACCTCACCGCACGGTAGTCTCTTGGTAAATTCGATTCCAGTCATGGGTGTACCTGTCGGAGGCAGTAAAATATTGCTATCCATCATGAGCCACTCCACATTCAGCGGCCGCTTCTTGATCTCACTGTATTCGTCTTCGAACATGTCCAAGAAGATGTCTTCGCTCTGCGAAGTGAAATCGATACGTTCTTATCGAAATGTATATACGGAGAAGCTAGCAATTTCATTCACGAAAACGTGCTTCAGCCAGGATTACAAGACTCCACGGAATGAATCACACGCACCTTGTAGAAGTTCTTGAGCAGAGACGTGCTCTGTTCTCTCGCCGCTTCGATGGCTGCCAGATGCGAGTCCCGTAGCACGCATTGTCCCTCGGACATCATGAGTTGTGTCAACAGCTTGATAGTCAACTCCAACGTAACGAGTCGCACTTTGGAATCTAACGGGGAATCGATACTCCTAAATACACAGACGACACGTATACTAGATATAATAACGAGAATATGTATCGATGCAACTCACTCGTCTGACAGCTCAGTGTTATGATGTGAATCAATCTGTCCATGAGTAATTCATTGTACGAATTTTTCACAGACGCGCCATCGAACGGCGACAAGATCACGTCCAGAATTTTGCGACTTATACCCTTGTAAATGCGCAAATTGGATCACTATATAGTGAGACGATACGATGAAAATGGTTTGCACTGGAAATGTTTGATAGTTACCTGGTTATTGGCTAACGCATAGAGCAGGCAGAGTGTGAACAACGCCGCGTAATCGTTCTCCGTGCACAGTAAGGAGCTGACGATCGTTTCCAGAAACGGCTTCTTCGCCAGCGACTCGAATATGTCGTTTTGACTGGGATGCGGCGTCAACGGGCTCTCCAGCGCCAAGCGTTGCTGTTTCTCTTCGTCTGTCACATTCAAATGCTTAATTTCTTCTAAATCCTCTTCGCTCGGGATGCTCGTATCCAATGGTGTACGTATACGAGCGGAGATATTTATTAAATCGAAAGACGTACTCGAATCCTCGGTCCCCCGCGACTCGTCGCACACGCCTGCGCTTACAGCGATCTCTTTCGCGTTTTTCACATTGCTCTCCGCGCGATGATGCTCCTCGGGCGTCGACGACCTTTCGCTCAGGATTTCCAGAGATTTCTCTAACGTTTCCCTCGACGGGGAGGAAGTGGCAGGCTTATACGGCGATATCACATCTCCGAACCTACTCAGGACTCTGGCTGTTCCAGTGCGAATCGCTCTCGGATGATCGGATTCCCGTTCGTCCAACTCTTCGCACATGTCTGAGTTCACAGCGAACTCTTTCGTGTTTTTCACATCGTCCTCTTCGTCGTAGTGTTCCTCCTCGGACGTCGGTGTCTCGGTCAGGGTTTCCGAAGATTTCTCCAGCGTTTCTCTCGATAGGAAAAGAGAGACGAACTTATTCGACGTGGCATCTCCGAACTTCTCCAGTACTTTAGTCGTCCCGATTTGAATCGTGTCTAAGTCGGACATGAGCATTACAGCCGCCAATGTATGTACAAGAGGCCCATGCGACACTATCAAAAATACTTGGGAAAGTAGAAAAAGTGCTACCACGACACTGACGTGTTTCCTCTCGTCCTGAAACGTTCGGGAACGATACTCGTTACGTGAAGATCGGAGAAGGCAGACATTTCATTCTTACCTGAGTTTGGCACAAAACGTTCTTCTGTTTCATCAGAGAATAAACGTACAACGGAACCAACAGTTTATGCAGCAGATGCTCAGATAAAACCTTGTTCAAGTCTGATATATTCAAACACAGAATGTCATTCAAATAATGCAAGTGATCCAAGTGTTCCGCGACTAAGTCCGATAACCTGTTTTGGCTTTGGTGACTGAAAGGAAGCGCGCTTTGTTAGTAAAAGAACGAAATTTGAGCAATGACCGAGTTTAGCAAAATCAAAATACAGTTGAGACTTACTCAGCATCGTTCCGGACGCAAGTATCTAGCTCGATGATATGATCGCCAATGAACCATACAAGATTGCTAAAATATGGAGCGGCCGTACGATCTCTTATGAAAGCTAACATGGATGAGTCCTCGACGCGATACACATTCAACGTCAGCGTTCTCACAGCTATGCGCACCATACCCTCCGAATGATTAAAAAACTTAATCGCTTCTGTGTACAGTGGAAAGTCATTGGTACGCTGACAACAATAGAGAAATAGATCAATCGATTTTATCGATAATGCTGAATCAGTAGAAGTGTGTACGTGTTGAAATTATAATATATTAAAATATATTTCTAAAAAGCGTGATAAAAAATCAACAAGTACAACCAAAACATAGACACAAAAAAACAATCATGTGTACCTTGTTTACCTCATTATAGAAGAAATGGATGGTATGGGCGTTCAACTTCAAACTTAATGTCTTTAGGAAACTGATATAGTACGCCATTACTTCCTCATCGCTAAAGTCAAATTTATGTACTATAATGCTATTCACATGATTGTTACTTAACAGATAATCTGTGGACAAAAATTTGTCATAAATATTGATCATTTTATTTATGAATTTAATGTGTAGAATAAATGATTTCAATAAACTTACACAAGGATGTCTCATTGCGTATATTTTCAAATAAAATATTCAATGTTTGTAACAACTGAACACACACATAGCTTCCACATTTCTGTTTCATGATACGCAAGAAAAAAGAAAGCATGTTTTTCTCCAAGAAAAAACTGCAAATACATAATACCTTATTAATTATAATCATGTAACTTGCACATTAATGCTTATCTAGTTAGAAGAACTGTTTCCAGACTATCTCATGATCTTTATTTTAATAAACATGATGTGAATTATATATATTATAAAATTATAGAAAATCTTGTAATGTAATATATAATCATTATTTTTTTCAATTATAGACACAGAATGTTGTAGAAGGAGGAGGAATTGGTTCTCAAAATCTTAAAATGATTATCTACCAGTGAAATAACAGATATATAGAGATAGATAGAGATAACATTGATAAGTTTCTTTACTCACTCAAAAACACTGCTGTCATTTTGATCACCCCATATAAGAATTTCAGCTATCGAACGTAGAGTTTCAACCAGCAAACCCTTGTTATTCTCAGATACAGTTTGATTCTTGGACAGGACGTTGTATAAATATCTGAGTGTAACAAGAAAGGTAAAAATGTGTATAAGATAATGTACACTTGATGTACAATTTCGACTTAATGACAAAAAAATAATATATTTATCGATAATGTTTGTATTTACTTAAGATGTTCCAAGGAATGAGGATTCTTCGGCTTCCAGAGCCCGCCGCCGAACCAACTCCGACTGCGAAACATTTTGATTTGTTTCAAGTGCGATGAGGTGCGCCTGCATTCGCGATCTTGTCCAAATTTTTTGCTTCTTCTCTCCTCGCTACGAGACGATCGCAGAAATGTGCCGTTTCGTCGTGCTCGTATTCATCGTGCGATCCGCCAACAGTACACGCGTGTGTATATATGTATATATTACAATAATAGTTGCGAATACAACGAAACGTGTACTACATCGTTCGGGGCCAGGTTCAAGTTCAGGTTAGAATTTTAATTCATCGCGCGGACGATTTTTACAACTTGGTTATGTATAGACGTATATGTTAACCATATGTCGACATTACACGTCACATCACACAATTTTATTGTTCCTGTAAAATCATTTGCAGTCACTCAATTTTATACGACGCAAAAAGAAGTCTGACCCGATTGAACCTCCATCTCGACTGACCGTGAATGATTATGACTGACGGACTATGAACATTCGTAATGTCAGGTTAGTGCAAAATCTGGTCTATCTTCAGGTAGGATTCGTTTGGAGCTGCAAACGCTTCGAAGCACGTAAAGAAAGATTGTAATTGGTTTATAAGCGCTTCGAAGCGTTTGCAGTGTCAAATGGATCCTGCTCTTCGTCTTATCATAAGCATTGACCTCGTTCGTTCGATGAATCGATATTTGATTCATTTTGCTAAAAGATCGACTATCTTCTCGATGTTTCCAAATGTTTGTTACTAGCCGTATAGGAATAACTAGCCGATGGAATAACTAGCCGATTAAGTTAACCAAAGTTGGTAGAAATGGACGTCAAGAGCATAGTGTTTTTCTTTTCTGTAAAATGAATTGCATTATTCGAATACACCGGTTTGGCGCGAATAAGATTGTAACCCTATTTGACGTATTTTCACTTGCGTCCACATATAATTGCAGCAAGTGTCCATGTAAGTATTTTTTATTTTTGAGCATTTAAAAGTACATTAAACTTCTTTTTATTATTGAATGCTGTTAAGAGGCTTAAGCTGTCTTCGAAATATTTCAGTATTTTGTTGAAAGTTACTTCTATTTCATTCTAACCTATAATCTTTTCTCTTTTAAAAATTTCTTATCACTTGCCAAATATAATTGTGTTATTTTATAAATTATAATCTCAAATTTTAAATTATTAAATTTAAATTATAATACTTTAAAGATCAACATATATGTATTTCCATACTTTTAAGATTAATGTGGTTATTTATTTTATAAATTGATCTCTGATCATCTCCATGTGTTTACTTGTCTTTTTTCTAGTATATTGGACACCTATTTTTTAAGCAAATGAGGAATATGACATTTACAGAAATGGAGCCATTAAAAATACACTTAGATTCTTTAGAAATGGCTGGGAAAATGGTAGATAAACACATAATTGCTGATAGTAATTTTCCATCTTTAACCAATCTTATGCGATACAGTGTACAAGGTAAATCATATATTACTATAATTGGAAAAAATAGTTTTGAAAACACATCTATGTAAAAATCTAACTGACAAATATTTTTTATACAGGTGGACCAACTGTTAGTGGTCTTGATGATCATGACTATCCTAATATAAATGGTGCATCAATGAGTTTAACAAATATTAATCAAATGAAGATACATAGCAAAATTCCACTGCCTTCTGAAGTGATGGAACATTTTGGTCGTATCCTTTTTAAATACTCAATACCAATATTGTCTTCCCACAATAAATCTATAATTATTTGAATTATTTTAGAATTATTATCATCAATTTTATTCCTAATCCTTAAAAAAAATATAGATATGCAATGTCACTGTATGATGGGCCTTTTTACAGAAATTTCCAAAGCTTGGCTTACTATTGACAGTGATATTTACTTATGGTCTTATGAAAATGAGTAAGTATCAATATATCTTGTATTTTTTATTTGTAAATTTATAAATTTATATGTAAAAATAATATAATTTTGTTGTAATATCCTATAGATCAGATGTTGCATACTTTGATGGGTTGAATGAGACCATTATAAGTGTAGGCTTAGTAAAACCCAAGGCAGGAATTTTCCAGAGTTATGTTAAATATTTATTAATTCTCACAACAACAGTAGAGATAACTATCCTTGGTGTTACAATACCTGATGATACTAAAGGTAACATCTTATGGCAGCTCTAGTTGTACTATTTGTTACTATCTAATTACATTATTACTTTCTTCTGTATATCCACAGAAGTACAATTAGTCCCAGAACCAATTTTTACCGTTACTACTGACGGAATAGGAATTACTACAATTGCTAATACTAGTAGTGGCCGCATCTTTCTTGGTGGTAGAAACGGATCGTTATTCGAAATATATTATCAGGTTATGACAGACTTATGATCTTAATTATGATATTGCACTCATATTAAATTGCTCTAACCGATCATTTTCTCGCGTACAGGCAGAGAGCAGTTGGTTCGGCAAACGGTGTAAAAAGATCAATCATTCGGAAGGTCCATTGTCGTTTCTAGTACCGTCGTTTGTTTCTATGGCATTGTCGGAGGAAGAAGCTATAATACAGATATCTGTGGACGACTCACGTAATATTTTATACACTTTGGGTGATAGAGGTACAATCACAGTTTGGGATATCGATAATGGCGGCGCATCTAGGATTACATCATTGTCTCAAGCTTCTTTGGTGCAAAATACTGTCCATGTTGTTAAGTATGTGATCTTTTATTGATATTGGTAATAATGTG